GTATTTAATACAGCTGGCAAAATAAATTGTTAAAATATGTATTATGTGCTTCTGTTTTTTAATTCAGGAGATTATAAAAAAAATCTTTCATTTTATGGGAAGACCCTCTGGATTCAAGAGAGAACTCCATTTTTTTAAAAAATGGCTGCTTATTAATTAATTGTTAATCAATCTATAAGATGAATCAGCTTCAGATTAATTCATTATCAACTTGCATCCTTAAGGAGTTAACTTAATTTGTATCTACTCATATTCATGTAATTAAGCGTTTTAATGATTTGGCAGATTAATCGATTAATCGAAAAAATAATCAACAGATTAATCGATTATTAAAGTAATCGTTAGTTGCAGCCCTAGCGTATGCACCGTTTATACATGAGGCCCCCGATGATGCAGCATGTACTCACATACAACTACTAATTATCTCCTGACAGACGAGTCGGTTCTGATGGACCTGAAAGCTCTGCTGGTGGAAGCCAAACAAAAGGTTCCTCCAGTCCTCCAGGTGCTGCAGACCGGAGACGAGACCATGCTTGACATCGGAGGTGAGGATTCTTCACTTTGCTGCTTGTTTTTTGTCTTCGCTGACCTGTTCTAACACGCCCCGATCGGTGCCTTTTCCCAGGGGAGAGGGGCTGCACGTTCTGCGGAGGTCTCGGCCATCGGATCACAGACTGCCCCAAGCTGGAGGCCATGCAGACCAAACAAGTCACCAACATCGGGCGAAAAGACTACCTGGCTCATAGCTCCATGGACTTTTAAGAGCAGGTTTAGCAGGATCAAACCTGCCCTTTTTACAGAAGTGAGAAATATTAGTGAGGAGACTGTAGTGAATTCTAATGTCAGCCGATTGAGGAAGTGTTTTATTATCACCCAACACTTTACGAAGGTCACTCAAAGATCAATCAATTTGACTTTTTATTCTTCGGAAAGTTAAGATCTAAATACGTGTTTGTAAAAACTGCAAAGCTGTAATTGTAAATAAAGCCTTTTTGTATTCGTTCTTAATCTATTGTCTCATCTGGGGAGTGGAACATGAAAAGGTGCGAATTGTTTTTCTCAGTAAGGAAGTTGCAAAACTCTACAAAAGGGAAGTCTGACTCAAGAAAAATAGCAACACTCAATTCGTGTGCCCTTTCTTTTGAAATAGCTGATGTACCGATGGTGACTTTATACACCCCCACCCCCAGACTACGTACAATATGCAGAAGAGCTGCAGACCACGTCATGGAAACAACTATTCTGGTGGTAGAGAGGATCTGAACTTAACTTCACTTGTATGAGTTTGACCACAGAGGAGCAGCTTGTCAGAGGTTCAGATCAAAGCTAGAAGAGCGATGGAGGTCATCTGTAAGGAGGGGATGCTCTACCTGCAGGGCTTCAAGTTTGGAAAAGTAAGTCTTAATCTTGTTTTCTTTTTAGTTTAAGCACCTGCTTTCATACCTCAAAATGTAAC